ACAATCTTAATTTTAAACATAATCATGTTAAGTTATCTTAAATTTCAAATGACAAATGAAGATGTGGGATATGATATTGCAAGAAACATAGGATGATATATAATAAACAATATGAGTGTGTAAGTAGCTGAATTCTTTAGTGAACAGCATGTACACTATAAAAAATACTATCTGTGATATTTGATATAAGAGTTAATTGACTAATTTGAATATATTAAGAAAATTAGTTAAGTTAGTTATTTATAATGAATAAATATTGTTTTTCCTAAAATATCCTTATTAATCATCTGTATTAGCTAAAACTACTATGTGATAGAATCTCTAATATATATAATTACTATAAGAACTATCTTTAAAAAAATAGATAAATATGAAAAACAAGATGAATTAAAATATTATATTTAGAATCAAATTAAAAATAAAACTAAGGCCTAGAGATAGTATTGACGTGAGGTAGTGATAATTACTCGTCATCAGGTTATCATACCGGTGGTTGTTGTTGATATTATTGGCAGCGACCTTTTTACATTGTTGCTGAAAATGAAATCCATGACTTAAAATATTTGAGTCCTTGTCGAAGATGAATCATCGCCGCCAGATCTGTACATGTCAACAGTGACAAAACATGAAAGCACTTGAATTTTTCAATGAACAATAGTATGCACCTCTTAATTTTCCTTTTTAGGTGAAACAAAGTATTTCTAAGTCACATTAAATTTGAAACTAATTCTTTTTGGGTCTAAAACACTTAAGAAATAACTATCTCAACAAGTGTATTTTTTAATATTCAAACTTATATTCTCCTTTTTACGAGACGATGAGGCCGTTATCATCTCAATTAATAGCTTGTTGGTTTCTTAATTTTCTTATCTGGCAATGAAATCATGAAAGAAAAAGGTAGAAAGAAGGAAATGTGAGGTATAAAGAAAGATGTGAAAATTACTAGAGTCTTGCCTTTGTCGTGTAATCTTTTTCTAATAAAGATAAAAAGATATAGATTCGGAACAAGATCAACTCAAACAAAAGTCAGTAGTATTTTTAGGGATGATTAAAGATGGCAAGACAGTTGTTCCAAGTGATTGGACGACTCTTTGTTGTTGGTAAGAAAAAATTGAATAATGAGAGGAAGGTGAATAGAGTCAAGGCAATAGGCATCAACGTGCATGGACCCATCTTAAGGCCATTAATAATCATAACCATCAAATTATATATACAAACACATATTTTCAATTAGTGAAATGGTGCAATTTATTGAGCCTTTCACTGGAGCTTTGTGACTGGTTAGTGACAATATTTTACTTTCACTCTGACATGCTGCAAAACTAGCAGATATGTGGATTGGCTTGAGGAGGAAAGGAAGAAGATAACAAGGAAGTTTATTTAATTTATTGAGTAAAACTCAGGTAAGTTCTACTATTTTAATTATTTTTTGAAAATTTTTTCTAGATTTTACTAAATCTCCTGGAAAGGGTATTTATGCTTTTAAAATTAAACCATAGCGTATTTATTTGAAAAATAACTTCAACACTCTGTGTAATAAAAAGTTTAAACAAGAAAGCCAGTTGAGATTAACTTATATATTCGGATAAATATTTGAGTTATTATCTCTTTTCCTACATTTTTTTTAATTTTCTCAATGTTCATTGTTAACTAAGACTACTTAATGTTTGTCTTTTTGTTAATATTATTTATTTTTTTATAAAACAAATTAACTTATATGTTAAGAATGAAATGGAGTGTGAGTAGTGGTTGAGAATTCAAATTTGTTTGGATGTCTTGGGGCAAAAAAAAAAGGTTAAACAAGCAAATCATACATTAACCCATTTAAAAAGTTAACTTTCTAGAAAGCATGGTTCATGAAATAACTTTCCAATGGGTACTTCATAATGAGTATGATTATTTGAATAAGTGAACGAGATGATCCTTCATCTTCAACATTCTTATTCCATCTCTTTTAAGATTATGACTTATGAGTATTACCACATGATATCAAGACTTCGGTTGACCAATTTGCTTGTTTTGTTTTGTATAAAATTAGGTGAATTTCATATATTTGTATAAAATTCAAGATAAATTATATTATTCATGACTTGCAAACACTATACCACACCAAGTTTCTAATATACTCCTCTGGTTTTATTTACAGGGAAGAGAGAGAAAATATTTTTTAGTCCTCTTTAAAGGACACCGAGAGAAATTTTTTATATGAATGTACAATTTTATCTCTCATTTATTATTGTATTGATTTTGTTTACATGAGGTGTAATGTTATTAATGTATACTAAATAAAGATAAAGCTGAAAAGTTATTAAATTTTAAATGAAAGCTAATGAAATTTAGGGTTTTTCTTAGTCTGTGTGAAACATGTTGATAGTGACTTATAAATAGGATCAGAGGAGTAAGAGCTAATTGGAAATTAAATTTAATCCTAAATGTAAGATCTCATATTATTTTGTCCCTCATATTTATCATTTTTTTTCAAATTATTCCTATTAATCATATATGTTAGGAAAGTTTGTATCAATGGTAATTTCAATACAAATGACTTAAGAAGGTATTTTAGGAAAACAAATATATATTTTTAGCAAATAAATAATTTAACTAATTTTTTTTAATCTATTTAAATTACTTTAATAAATACTGCACTACCTCTGATGTTAATTACAAGATATCATTTGTAGACTACAAGCGATATCTTATAGTATCAAAGGTCGTATTAAACCAGAGGCAGCAGTTTTTAACTTTAAATTTATAAATATATGGATACCACTGCATATTATGAATGCGAAACAAAGTAAATCACAATGATGGATTGTTCCTATTTAATTTAACACTATGTCGGATATGATTGGAATGTTACAGCTACAGGGACCAATTTTGTTTGTTTGTTTGGGTGGTTGGTTTGTTAGTTTAGAGCTAACTATCAGGAGGGTTTGCTTGGCCAATAACTCATCCACGTATGGGTATATGGACAGAATCTCCCCAGCCATTGTTTGGTGGAAGACGAGAGACAGCACGATATTTTCTTGCGTAAATGAGCAATTTTATTTCTAATATTATTTTTCCTCTGATATTTTGCTCTTAATTTTTTTTAACGGTATAGTTTTATCACTAATTTTTTAAAGTAAAATTTTAGATAAAATTACACTCAAATATTAGGGATAAAATTGTAACAAAATTAAGAGTAAAATTGTACTATTAAAAAAATTAAGAGTAAAATTACACTTGAAAACTTAGGTGCATTAGACTGAGGAACTCATTAGAATTTAGTTGAGTTTTATGACTCGAATAATATTTATCAAGATACTTACATATCTGTAGGAAAAATTCTTTTGTTGAAAGAGGAAAAATTAATTCATAGATTTTTTTTTTATAGTTTATCTTCATTTTAAATCAGATTCACGTAGTTTATTTCCTTATAATTTGATTGGTTACAATCATTCATCCTCACCTGAAAACACATAATTTTAATTTATAGAATTTCTTTGCTTTCATTTTTTTTGGCCAAATATTTCCTTTCATTTTAAAGCTCACGTATGCTTACAAATAAAATTATATAAAATATACTACCTCCGGTCTTTAATATAAGATCCTGTTTGACTTTTATTTTGATCCTAAATATAAGATCCCAATCCACTGTCTCTCATATTTATACATTTTTTTTCAAAGTAGCCTTTCTAACAATAATAGTTCTAGTCAATACACTTGATTAGTAAGGATATTTTAGAAAAGACAATACCTATTTAGGACAAATAACTAACTCAATTTACTTCCTTAATCTCCTCAAATTAGTCAACTAGCTCTTATAATTAAGACCTGAGGTAGTATAAATTAAAACTATCGGATGAATAATGAAAACCTAGTTCAGAAAAAAAAAATTATAAGGTTGTATAAAAAAAAATTATAAGAGCCTAAATCAAAATTGAGGCAAACTAAGTAAAGATGTGAGAATTAATGTTTTTTTATAAAAAAAAATTGTATGAGTTTTGATATATGATGGATGATGACGGTAGTACTTGCCCTAATATAAAGGACAGATACACAATGCCTGTCCACCCCAAAAAGACCCCATTGATAAGGAGGCAGCATGTCCCATTGTTCAGGACAACTTGGTTTTTGGTGTCTTGACACCTACACTTCATGGGTCTACTTGAGGTGCTCCATATCTGCTCCCATTCTCTTCTCCTCTCCCTTCCCCTCCTCTCTTCTCCCATCCTATTCCCATTCTCCTTTATACACACATTACCTTAGTATTTAATATAAAAACTAATTAACTTAATCTTATATATAAAATTCTAATTTATTTTGTTTTTAGTATTTATTTATTTTTAAAATAATTCTTGTAATAGTTATGCATATTAAAATTTTTATTAAATGATAATTTTAGTTAATGCATATAATTAGTAAAAATATCCTAAAAAAGACAATACTCCTCCAGTCCTATATATAAAAATCTTATATTTAGAATCAGAAAATACCTATTTATTATAAATAACTAACTTAATAAACTTTTTTAATTAACTCAACTTGTTGTTAACTTGCTATTATATTAAGAAATCATCAGTATATCTAGTCTAGTATCTACTATCATAAAGAAATCAACTGGGATGGTCTTCTTCTATTCATTTTTTTTTTTTTACCAGAGCATTTATTTTGTTTATGAACTTCAGTTCTGAAATTTTAATTTACTCCTTACTGAAAAGAGCCGGGTTAAGTGGATCCTGTCCATTGAAAGAATGAAAGAACAAAGAGAAGTAGGATCCAAAGCTTTCAAAGTTGCAGATCTATATCAGTAAATATTTCATCTGATGATTATGATGAAGTTTTCTCTGTTCATCTTTTTGCCTTTTTTACTTTCTATGTCGCCCAGTTACTCTCCACTTTCCTTAAAAGAGAAACACAGACATTTGAGATAATGATGGGAATAATATGATAAAGATTAATCAATGATAAAAATAAAATAAAATTTAAAGTGGGTAAAATCCTAAAGTAAAATAAAATAGAACCCAAAAAAAATTACTGATCATTAAAAATCCCAACACAGTGATAATGTTGAAGAAGCCTATTGGCTTCCCTAAGACCACTAAAGTAAGCTCCATGAGTAGTAGAATAGTGAGTTCTGTGAGTAGCTTCGCCTGCAAACAAAATTTGCAGAGGAGGTGAGGATGATGAAGATGAAGATGAAGATGAAGGTGAAGGTGATGATGTTGATGAAGAAGAAGAAGAACACTTGAAATCGCTATTGCTTTCTCTCTTCGGTAATGGCTCTGCCATTGTGTCCAAATCTTCACCACTTGATCCTACTGCAACATAACTGTATGACCCCAAGAACAAAGGATCAGAACCCCATTTGCTCTTCAGAATTTTACTGAATCTCACTTCACTTCCATGAGAGTTCTCAGAATCTACATTCCCATTATGGCACAACTTCAAATCGCATAGAAGGCTCGAAATTGTGGCTGAAACCCCAGTCTTAATCTCTTCATCTTTCAGTGATTCAAGTGCTAGTGCTTCATCCCCAGCAAACCAAGCTTGAAGAACATTAGAATTGCTGTAAATAGGAGAAACTGAGGCTGTTCTTCTCATCCACCAAGGGATCTTCTTGTTCCTAAGCCCAGAGTCATGAGGATGAAACACCATTTGCAGTAAAGGGAAGCAGCCATTCTTGTTATTGTAGTGCCCGTTTTTACTTTCTTGTTGCAGAAACAGTTTATTAACAACACCAAAACCAAGCCTTGAGATTGCCTCTGCTTTGAAAAGAGGCAGAGGAGGATAGAACATACCTGAATCTTCTTGAATCGCAGCTTTTAACACTCCCAATGAAACCGTAATGATGACATGATCTGCAGAAATTGCAGACCCATCATAGAAATGAATCTTGACAGGCCTTTGTGATTTTTCCATGGACCCCTGGGGTTTCCAGTCGATCTTTGTCACTTTTCGACCCAATTGAACAACCCCAGGTGGAAGAACAGAGGCTAGTGATTCCACTACCCTGATGTAACCTTTAGCTATGGTGATTTCTTCACCTGGGAACATCGTGTACTCACTCTCTGCACTGTAATCCAGATTCATGAGGTCATTCGCTGAAGTATAAGTCCTCTGGGTATTTTCATACATTTTAAAAATTCCTTCTTGAAGCAGCTTCCTGCTCCATTTTCCATACCCTTTAAGCTCCTCCTTCGATTCCTCTTTACCCCAGTAAGCTTCAAGTCCTTTCCTCAGAAACGAGCCTACACTCAGATAAAGTTCACTCCTTTGGCTGTCTTGTTCGTTCAACATCGTAGCATTCCTGGTCTTCCCTTGGGCTTGATCCATGAGGGTTTTGAAGAGCTTGGCGATGGGGTCGACAATGGCTGGACTGAGCTTGAAGCCGCCTTCGGCAATGGTGATGGTGTCGGGGGAGCCGCCATCCATGTACTCCCACGGCTGATCGGAGTGTAAAGAGTGTGTTTCTTGGGCGATTTTGTGAATTGGGCTGTTCCCGATTCCGTGGATCCAAGTGGCACCGAGCTCAATCCGGTCACCACAGAACTCCGACGTGCATATTCTTCCGCCGATTCTGGTCCCGGCTTCGACGACGCAGAGCTCAAACGAATCTTTGAAGCCGGAGGAGGTGTAGAGCTTGTGGGCTGCAGTGAGGCCAGCTATTCCGGCTCCGATAATCACAATCCGAGGCTTCTTCACCACCATTATCGAGCTCTAAGGTATGGCTAATTAATTATTGGCAGGGGCGAAAGGGAGAGATATACTGATATTTAGAGAAAGAGAGAGAACAGAGAGGTTGAAAGTGAAAAGGAAGGTTAGCGAGGGTGAGATATTTGGGGTGTGGGAGAGAAGGGATCTCAATGAAAGAAAAGAGAGAAGAAGAGGAGGGAAGGGTTTTAACGAGGAAGAAGGGACATGGCAAAGAGTGAATTTTTATAGAGAAAACTTTATTTTTGTTTAGATTTTAATTTAAATAGATTGAAGAAGTTAAATTAGTTATTTTTAATATATAAATATTGTCTTTTCTAATCAAATGTATTAGTTACAACTATTATTATTATAAGTACTACTTTAAAGAGAAAAATATAAATATGAGAGACAAAATAAATTATATATTATATTTAGTATCAAAATAAAATTCAAACTAGTTTTTATATTAAAAACCAGAAGTAATATATGTTAAAGGTATTTTTATATACATTTTAAATGATAATTTTATTAATATTAGCATGTTATTCATCTAGTCATATTTATACAACAAAGAAAAGAGAATTTTTTAATTCTGTTTACAGGACAGAGAGAGAAATTTTTGACATCAATATATAATTATGTTGACTTTATTTTTATAGTGTATATTAAATAAGCATAAAATTAAAAAGTTATTAAATTTTAAATGAGAATTAATAAAAATTTTTTTTTTTAATTTTTATGAAATATGTTTAGAAAGATCATTAAAAAAAATGAAACAAATTTACTTAATTAAAAAACATTGCAGAAAACCTGAAGAAACCTTATTGGCATTGGCATGGCAGCTTATAATTTTATACACCTCCGGTCCTTAATAAAAATCTATTTAACTAATTTGATTAGATTGAGAAAGTTAGGTAAGTTAGTTAATTATAAGAAATATGACATGTTTTTCCTAAAATACTATAATCATCTTTCTAAATATCTTCTCTTCCTTGCTTACTTGATTATGGTTGAGAAAGTATCTATAAGGATAATTTTAAAAAATTAAAAAAAAGAAATATATTTTTTATTTAGAATCAAAATTAACTTAATAATTAAATCATATATTAATAAGCGACAAGTATATTAATATTTGTAATTGATTTTTTTTTTTTTTGATGAACCCCAAGAGCCCAAGACCCATATTAAACTTAATCATCGTACCATCTCCCATCCCCAGCCTGCCACATCTTCAACCTCGACGACAGCGCCTTCACTTCCTAGCAGCAGTAGTATCTTGACTTCTCCGCACATGGGTATATCGGGGACATTAGAAAATAATATGGCTGTTTACTCAGGACGGGGTAAGTTACTTCGCTTTACAGCAAAAATCCCCTAATTTGGGAGGACAGAGGAAAAGGACAGATTTTTGGGAGAATTATCTCAAAAAAAAAATATATAATTACAAAAATTTCTAATAACATATGAGATATCAACCTATTATTTCTTATTTTTAATATAAAAATTCATTTAATTTTTATTTTGATTTTAAATATAAATTTTTAATTCATTTTGTCTCTCATATTTATCTACTTTTTTTAAGTAGTCTTTATAATAATGGTAGTTTTAACTAATATACTTAATTAGTAATGATATTTTAAAAAAGATAGCACCTACTTATTACAAATAACTGACTTAACTAATTTTCTTAATCTATTCAAATTAGTTAATTAGCTGTTATATTAAGGATATGATGAAATATTATTATTCTCTGGCTTAAAATTTGTTATGGTTTTTTTTTATCTCGAAGCTTATTATTATGCGCTACTTAATTGTAATTGTTATAAGATATTTTAGTGATTACATTCATTTCTTAAAATCTTACCATAATTCTCTTTAAAAAAAACCAACCAAACACTAATCATATGTGTGTGTATGTACCGCTCATATATAAATCACTTGTATCTTATTTTTCATACTAAAAAATGCATTGAATTTTTTTATTCACAAAAATGCATTGCATCAATAAAAGTTTTCACATTTACCTTTATTAAAAAGAAAAAGTATTAAAAAATCATGCCGTACATTTTTATCTATTTTTTATTATATTTACTAAGGATAAAATTAAAAAATAATCATTAAGTATCCCGCAAGTAACTTATATCTAGAAACCAAATTTTCTTCTATATATACTCTTTCGATTTTAAATATAAGACTCTTATACACATTATATTTAAAAGCAGATAAGTAAGAACATAGGAAGATATATACATATGTATATATGTGATTCCTGTCAACATCATCTCGGGATTTGGATTTTGCGTAGAGTCAATATATGAGGCATCAAAACTGCGGTCAACTTGAGCTAATGTCTCTATGCTTTCTTTAACTATGAGATTAGTTCACGAAATTTGAGCCAACTTGGTCAAAGCTTATTGAAAAAGAAAAATTGTTTTATATTAGGATATGTCATTTTTGAGGCTATGCCTGGTAAAGCAGGATGAAATAATTATAAGGAAATGCGAATGAAATCGAAAATGGAAGTGAAAAATGCGAAACGACTTTACAAAAAAACTTGATATAATTAAATTATTATTATTATTATTTTCTAGTATAATATCTTTATCAATAAATATGAAAAAAATTAGAAGATATAAAAAGGTCCATCGGATGCCGCTAACCATCACTAGGAATCAGGATTCATAAATGCTAAAAATCAACTTTATACGATATATCGTATGATGAGTCTTTGAATAACCTTCTCTCTCGGCTGAATTTTTTAATAAATATTTTAAAACTTATAATAGATAGGAAATTTTCTTATGACCAAATGAGTGATTTAGTTTGTACTAAATCTTGCATATTTTCTTATGGAATATTAAGTTGCAAGATGTGGAATATTCTTAAAAATGAAGTAAAAAAATATGTCTCAAAATCAGCCAAAAAAAAAAAGTAAAATTGTAAAATAAGCAACACTTCTTACAAGAGTTTTAAGAGTCCTTGATACAAAATAGGCATTTTTAGGACTCTTGATGTCCTTTTTCTTTTTTGATTTCGTGTAATTTTACTATTTGCATGAAAATTAAACTAGTTGAGGAAGTGAAATTAGGATCATTTATAGTCTATAAAAATTATTATAAATGATCTCCAATTTTTAACTAAATTATTTAAAGTCTCCTCAAGATCTCAAATTACCTTAATTATTATACAACTTATTCTTAAGAGAATTTTATCATGGCTATTAGATTATTTTATTTTCAAACGCGATTAATTATTAGATTCTTAAGGTCAAAGGATTAAGTGGTCACTTGCATGTACAAGTCACATTTCAAAGTTATCCCTAATTTTTTTAATTACGAGGAATAATCAAAGTTAGGCTAATAAATATATATATATGCTTTTAATATTTCAACAGCTGCATCCGTATAATTATTTCCATCTCTTACCCTCACATGGTTTCACTTTCCTCCCTCATTTTTTTAACCTTCAAATTATTATCGTCAAAGTTATCATGATAAGAGAAGAAGATAAGAAAATAAGTTGAATTCAACAAGTTGAGTCGAAAGTCAATTCAACGTCTAATTAAAATATAAGAGAGAGTCGGCAGACTTGAGAATCAATTGAAACCGGCTAATATTTGTAGAAACCTATGGTTCGTGTATTTTCATTTTCATTTTTATCTTAAATTTTAAATTTTTCATGGTAGTGTTATCCTTACTATGGCCCCAGGTTTCAACATCAAACTTTCAGATTCAACTTTGACGGATAGACTAAAAATCCAAGTCCAGATAGTTGGAGCAGAGCAAGATCCTAGAACTATCGCAGCAGCTCTTCATCATCAAGTCATTTATAGACTTCAAAACCATGCTCTTGATCTTTATTTTCCAAATTCTACTAAAAATACTCTTTATGTGGTTTCTGATAGAGCTGATGATATATTCTAATATTTACATATTATAATTATAAATTATGAAATAAATATATAAATTTTGAAAGGAAATTTCAATAAAAAAAACTTAAAAGTGTAGAAAACAATCATGATTCAAGATTTAATAATTTGCAGATTTTTTTCTGTGGGATTTTTCTAAATTTAAATGAAGATGATGAAGTATTGATAAATGTTACTCCTCCGATCCTTAATATAAAACCTATTTAACTAATTTAATTAAATTAAGAAAGTTAGGTAAGTTAGTTAATTATAAAAAATATAACATATTTTTTCTAAAATACCATAATTATCTTTCTTAATACCTCCTATTCCTCTACTACTTGATTATGGTTGAGGGAGTATCCATAAGGGTAATTTAGAGAAAATTGATAAATATGAGAAATGGGTCTTACATTTATGATCAAAACCAACTCAACAATTGGGTCCTATATTAAAGACCGGAAGAGTATCATTTTATTGTATGTTATATTTCCTTGAATTTAAATATTTATTTTTATTATATAAGGTTATTTTAAGATTATTCTCATATTTATAATAAAATTTAAACTCAGGAACTTGTTATAAATTATGAGCGAATTTATTATGGACCAGATCAAATCTTATCTTGTGAGTATGAGAGGTACAATTTTCCTGACATTGATATAGTTCAACCCCACACACATAAAGAAGCATATGATACGAGTCTCTCATAATTGAAACACTATTTACTCATCACCCACCTACCTCCCTAGGCCTGCCACAGCTACCTTGCTACCGCCTTCAAAAGTAAATAAATGATTTTGTTACAATTATTTGCCATTTTATTTTGTAAATTCATCTATATTTGAGTTCCTGAATAATTTTCTATGATTTTTTACCCACAAATTCAACCCTCTTCCAGTGTCTAATATAAAATCTTATTTAATTTTTTTAAATATAAGATTTAAATTCATTTTATCTGTTATATTTATATTTTTTTTCTAAGATAATCTTTTCACTAATGATATTTTTAACTGATAAATTTAATTAGCAAGGATATTTTAAGAAAGACAACATCTATTTATTATACATAACTAACTTAACTTATTTTCTTAATCTATTCAGATTAATCAATTAGCTCTTATATTTAAAGCTGGAGATAGTATTAATTTTTGGGTAAAAAATTTATTAAAATTTCTATCCTTAACATTCTATATTTATGTTTCCATCTAATGTTTGCAATTATAAATTCATTTTTTTATTTATTAAGGAATTTT